GAGAGAGAGAGAGAGACGAGAAGAGAGAGAGGAGAGAGAGAGAGAGAGAGAGAGAGAGAGAGAGAAGAGAGAGAAGAGAGAGAGAGAGAGAAATAGGAAGTGAGCTGAAACGGAGAATCACAAAATATGAAAACATCACACAAGGAAACCAACTAAAAATAAATGTCCGCATATCAATTTACGATAAAAAAAAAAGTAGGAAACATACACTATAAAAAACAATGTGCATTTTGTCACGCGTCTCTGGCTACGGCATCGGAGGGTGAAGGTTACGCTGATGTGTTCGAATGCCTCATTGTTTACCTCCCGCGTTCGTATGTCAACATTCGAGACAAAATCCAAGAAAAACAAATAGACTCCAGGTGGGGAAACGGTCTTAAGATAAACACCTGGATCCTTTCCAAGAACACACAACTTAAGTCATGAATTCACGAAATGGGACTTAACAAATAAAAAAGAAAAGGAAAAAAAAATCCCTTGCTAGTGACATCTGGCAACCGAGAGGCTGGAGGCTGGACGGGGTGTATATATAATCTCGCATCACGAGCTCGACGCATCACAGGTGAATTTACAACCGAGGTAAGAGAAACAGTTTACTGTAAACATAATTAAAGAAGAGGGTGAAAGAGAGACATGATTCTATAAAATGGAAAGCATGCATTTGCACTTGCACATTTTCATATGAAGTAAGAGAAATTAGTTTGTTGATAGCGTAATGATAAACAACAACAAAAAATCGTAATGTACCAGTTCATACATGAATTAGAGGTTTATACAATCTGTCATGATTAAGTTATTGCAATAAATTGAATTCACAACGATAATTATTCAGATATCTTTCCAGACGAGTGTATAGCATGTCTTTATTCATTTTCCAATATCCCAAGTTGACCGGTAAAATAATGTATGAAATGGATGTAATTACAGATCATTTTCCGAGCATCTTTTGTTAACCAGCATTACCCCGTGACAAAAAAATACCTGCACAGACATAGTGATTTATAAAAAAGGTTATAAGCGCCACGCCCACAACATCCGGTTGGAATAGAAGAGTCCGAAATGACATTGCTTTGTATTGCTCTTGGGGGAACTCTCTCTCTCTCTTTCTCTCCCTCTTTCTCCCCTCTCTCTCTCTCTCCTCTCTCTATCTCTCTCTCCTCTCTCTCTCTCTCCTCTTCTCTCTCTCTCTCTCTCTTCTCTCTTCTCTCTCTCTCTTCTCTCTCTCTCTCTCTCTCTCTCTCTCTCCTCTTCTCTCTCTCTCTCTCTCTCTCTCTCTCTCTCTCTCTCTCTCTCTCTCTCTCTCTCTCTCTCTCTCTCTCTCTCTCTCTCTCTTCTCTCCTCTCTCTCTCTTCTCTCTCTTCTCTCTCTCTCTCTCTCTCTTCTCTCTCTTCTCTCTCTCTCTCTCTCTTCTCTTCCTCTCTCTCTCTCTCTCTCTCTCTCTCTCTCTCTCTCTCTCCCTCTCTCTCTCTCTCTCTCTCTCTCTCTCTCTCTCTCTCTCTCTCTCTCTCTCTCTCTCTCTCTCTCTCTCTACTCTTCTCTCTCTCTTCTTTCTCTCTCTCTCTCTCTCTCCTCCTCTCTCTCTCTCCTCTCTCTCTCTCTCTCTCTCTCTCTCTTCTCTCCTCTCTCTCTCTCTCTCTCTCTCCTCTCTCTTCTCTCTCTCTCTCTCTCTTCTCTCTATTCTATCTACTCTATCTATATCTATCTATCTCTATCTATCTATCCTATCTTCCTTTTCTCTCTCTCTCTCTATCTATCTATCTATCTATCTATCTATCTATCTTCTATCGAGATATCATATCTATCGAATCTATCTGTCTACTCTATCTCTATCTATCTATCTATCTCCTCATCTATCTATCTATCCACCTATCTATCTGTTTATCTCTCTATCTATCCATCTCTCTCTCTCTATCCATCTCTCTCTCTCTCTCTCTTTCTATCCTCCCTCCCCCCTCCCTCCCCTCCCTCCCTCCCTCCCTCCCTCCCTCCCTCCCTCTCCCTTCCCCTTCCCTCCCCTCCTCCCTCCCCTTCCCTCCTCCCTTCCTCCTTTCCCTCCCTCCCTCACTGTCATTCACTCTCGCTCTCAAAGCTACGCACTCCCTTATAAGGAATTCATTCATTCCTTTATCCAGATTCGGGAACCTTCTTTTTGTGTAAACTTTCACTTTCAAGGTCGAGTGATGTGCGCTCCCACTCTGGAACGATCGGTACTGGGGGTTGAAGTAAATTGATGTCAAGGCTTTAATTGTGAAATTGATGTCAGATGTCAGTGCTTGCGTTGATCACACGGCTTTTATGTTTGGCTGTGGTGAAGGCGTGGGGTTCAAGGTTATTATTGTTGCTGTGGTTATGATGATGTTGATTATTTTGTTTGTTTGTTATTGCTATTATCATTGTCGTTGTTGATTTTTTTTTTTGTTTTTTTGACTATAAGCTATTATATTGTCGTTATTGGTTATTATATCAGTAGTTTCTTGTACTAATCATCATCAGTATCATTAATGCTTGTGTTTCGTTCGGTTATTTGCATATTATGCTTGAAACTCTATTCCTTGTGATTGCGGAATTGAAATAACTTTATTTTGATATCAAAGGAACTCGTTACGATTGAAAACACATACCCTGTGCTGAGTTGAAGTCACTATTTGTTTACGTAGAGTGGAGTGATGACTGACAACACATACATAACACAAACAAACACGTACACACACAAACCGCATCATAACACAATGAAAACAAGCACACTCAGAAACACATATATGCAATCAATCAAACACACATATTCATACAAACACATACACAAAGAAACACATAAACATCAACAAACAAACACACACACACAATGAAACACACACGCACAAACACACAAAGAAACACACACATACAAACAAACAAATGTACATACATACACATACAGGGTTAACATACACACACACACACACAATGAAACGAACAAACGCACACGCACAGACACACAAAGAAACCTACATACAAACAAACGTACACATATACACATACAGGGTCAAGCGAAAGGGTGGGGAAGGGTGAGAGGCTTAGGAGGAAAGGGAGAGGGGGATGAGGGAGCGAAGGAGAGGGGGGCGGGGTTAAGGAGGAAGAGGAGGGAAGTGGGAGGGGCCAGGAGGAGGGATTATAATGGAAAGGGAAGGGTGAATTTAAGGAGGATTTGGGATCGCGAAGGAGGGGGAGAGCGGGGAGAATAAAAGGTGGAGGGAAAGGAATAGAGGGAGAGGAAGCGAGGAGAAGGAGGAGGAGGGTGAAAGAGAAGAAGAGGAGGTACCTCTTTTCTTTCTTTCTTTCTTTCTTCTTTCTTTTTTCTGTGGAATTTCCACGGAGTTCCGCTAGGTGTTATTATTGTTGTTGTTGTTTTTATTGCCATTGTTTTAATCAATATTTGCTGTATAATAGTCCTTATAATATCCATTATCATTATCATTATTGATACTATTGTTGTTATTACCGTTACCATCATCATCATTATAAATAATACTATCATTGTTATCATCATTATCATCATCACCATCATCATTGTGAACCGCATTGTATCTTAGACGAAGATGTATTCGAAACCTGTCAAATACATCTCTTGTATTGTGAAGATATTCATTCTCATGCACATCCTTTTCTACACAATACCACCACCATTCTCACAATCACTATTAATACAGAAGATTAAATTAGAAGTGCTTTTGACAGATACATCATGTCGACCACAATCACCCTGCTTTTGTGCCTGGCTCTCTCAGCTGCTTTTGGTCTGCCTGGTAAGTAATGCTTTTGTTGAGAAATTTTGTTTTTTATCCACCAGCCTTGTTACTAGGGAAAAATTTTCGAATAATTTACTTCAAAGTTGAATTAAGATTGGTCTAAAATTCCTTGATTGGTATCTTTATTATCTTGTTCCTTAATTAATGATCTTAATTTTTCACTTTCTTTACTTTTTTCTTTTAATTCTCAACTCTAATCCAACTTCTAAACGCATTAATTAATTAATAATTAAATAAATTGTTGGTCTAGGGTATTTAGTTTATTGTACCATATCCATTTATTTTATTTTACTTTTCTATCTTTCAACAGCTGATGAGTCTGGCCCCGTAAGCATCAATAAACGCAACATTGACAACACTCGGGTATGTAATTACTCTATTATTTGCTAGTGTGCAAACACGAGCGCGTGTATAGTGGGAGAAAGAAATATTAAACTGTGTGTGTGTGTGTGTTTGTTTATTTGTGTGTATTATTTAGTATCTCATGTGTAGTGTGTGTGTGTGTGTTTTATCTATATATGTATATAGTATATAATATATATATATATATACTATATATATATATAGAAGGAGAGAGAGAGAGAGAGAGAGAGAGAGAGAGAGAGAGAGAGAGAGAGGAGAGAGGAGAGAGAGAGAGAGAGAAAGAGAGGAACACACACACATAAATATACACATGAGTGCGAGAGAATGAGACAAGACAGACAGACAGCAAATCCTTCCACACAAGCCACACCTACACAACTAGTGTATCCCTCTTCAAACGACCTGTGAACGAGACCAGCTGCAGGAAGGGCCAATGACGTCATCCATTACCCTAACAGCACAGGAAGTCAATTTTATCCTGAAGCAAAATCGTGGTGTCGTTGGCAGATATGGGTCACGTGTGATTTAGGGTTGTAGGGTTATATATATTTTAAGGGTTGAATTGTCTCGATGCTTCGGTTATCATTATTATTATTATTATTTTTTTTTTTTTTCCTCTCTTTTTTCGATTTTTCTTTTTTTTCTTTTTCGACGTTTTATGGTTATGCCTCTTGGTCTCTCTCTCTCTTTCTATCTTTCTTTCTCTTCTCTCTTCTTTCTTTCCCCTCTTTCGTCTCTGTCTTTTCTTCTCTCTTTCTCTCTCTCTCTCTCGTCTTTCTTCTTTCACAGGGATCTTGCTTCTCTCTTCCGGATAGATGTGTCTCTCTGATCATTCTACGCTATTCTCGATCTCATCGTTCTCGTTCTCTCTGCTCTCTCTCTCTTCCGGTCTCTTCGTCTCTCTCTCGTCTTCTCATCTTCTCTTCTCTCTCTCTCTCAATCAGCCGCGCTCGTCGTCTCCGCTCGCCCACAATCGATTATCATACGAGTTACCAGTGATGCGTCTCCCTCCCTCTCCCTTCTCCCTCATCCCTCTCTCCTCGTCTCCCTCTCAGCTCATCTCTCTCTACCGCTCTCGGTCTCGCGCTCTCCGAGGTGATCCGATCCCTCTGTAGCGAGTGGGAGCGGAGTCCCTGCGCGGTCTGTGTCATCGTCATTTCGCTCATCAAACCACTGGGCCTTTGTACCATCAATTGCCTATCTCCACACTAAGGGGGGAGGGGGGTAGAAGGGGGGGCCAAGGGGTACAATAAGGAAGGGGGTGGGGGGGGGGTATGGGTGGAGGAGACAACTTTGCAGCGGGTATGGTAACTTTATGTTCGGCTATTCTTGGTTTTCCCACCTCACTGGTCTAGAAGTGCCTAATCGGTCTTTACAAGTGTGGTTAGTGGTGTTGTTGTGTTAGTGTGTGTGTGTGTGTGTTTAGCCTCTCTTGTGAGGTTCTTTGTGAGCAGGTGATCCCTCTTGCTTTATATTTCTCGTGGGAGTTTTGAGTTTGGTTTGTCTCTCTGTCGAGTGACTCTCGTCTGTACTATAGTCTTTTATTTATTGTCTTTGTGGTGTCGGTAGTTCCTCTCTGCGTCCAGTTGCGAGGTTGGGACTGCTCCGTGTTGAATGTTTTGGTCGTATAAGTGGAAGAAATTTAATTGTGTTTGTGAAACTTGGAATAGGAATCGGAGAGTATGAGGAATTGATAATTGATGAATGTATATAATAACAAAGTCATAGTTTTCGCCCTTAGAGAACCTTCTTCCTCCTCTTCCCTGACTTCCCCCCATCCTCTTCCTGCCTCCTCTTCATCCTTCGTCCTGCTTTCTTCTTCCTCCTCCTTCTTCTCCTTCCTTTCTCTTCCTCACTCCTTTCCTCCCTTTCTGCTTCTTCGCACCTACGGCTGCCTCTTGCCTCTCCTTTCTTTCTTCCTGAATACTTCGTCCTCGGCCCTTCCTGTATTATAAAACTTCGTTATCGGCCTCTCAAGCGTCTCTAGAATTTGCCGTCCTACCTCCCTCTTCATCTTTGCCTCTTCGTCTTCTTTTCCTTTTTCCCTCCTCCTCTATACCCGCCCTTTTCTTCTTTTCCTCCCCTCTGGCCCTCTCCTTCTCGCCTCTACGCCCTACCACTCCTTCTTCCCTTCCACCCTCCTCCTCTCCCCTCCCTTTCCACCTCCCTACCCTTTCTTCTCCTCTCCGCGACCGCTCCCCTCTATTCCTTTCTCCTTGCATTGTCCTCCTCCTTTCTCCCCTCCCCCTCCTACCCTCTCCTCCTACCTCGCTCCCCATCCCCTCCCTACCTCCTTCTTTCCTCCTCTCCCTCCTCCCTTCCTCCTAACTCCTCCATTCTCCCTCCCCCCTCCTTTTCCTCATCCCTTTCCACCATCCTCTTTCCTCCTCCTTTCTATTTATCCTCCCTACCTCTGAGTTTCCCGTGCCCCTTCCTCCCATCCCCTCCACTCCGTTTCTCCTGTGCTATATCCGCCTGGCGCTCCTTTCTCAAACCTCCTGTCTTTCTCCTCTGCCGCGCCCTACTCAGCTCCCGTCGCTTCCTTCTTCCTCTGCCCTTGCGGTCCCCGATGCCCGCCGATTCCAGACCCGGTTCGATCTCCCTTTTCGTCCCTCCTCCTCTGGCTTCTCCTGCTCTTCCTCCTCCGATCAGTCGGTCTGGTTGTCCCGAGCATCCCCGGTTATCCTCCACCCTCCTTTCTCCTCCCTTCCTCCTCTTTCTCTCTCCCCTCCTTCTCCTCTCTTCCTCCCCCTCCTCTCGCCCCTCTCCTCTCCTCTTCCTCACTCCCTCCCCCTCCTCTTCTTCCTTCTCCCCCTCCTCCCCTCCTCCTCTTCTCAAAGACGAATGTTCTTCCCTTTCCCCAAACAGTTCTCCATCCAGAGGGAAATTCCATGTTCTAGGCAGAGGAGCTTTTTGTTGCGCTTGGCCTCTGCTTCCCCCAAAGACTTTTTCCAAAGACCGGCCTGGCTTTGTTTCCTCCGAACAAGCAGCCCAGGGGGTTCGAGTGTTTGCTACAAGAAAAAGGTATGTGGAAAGATTACTCTTTACTACGTTTATTTATTTATTGTATTTTTATTTATTTATTTATCTTATTGTTTATTTATTTATTTATTTACTTTTTTTTTTTTTTTTTTTTTTTTTTTTTTTTTTTTTTTTTTTTTTTTTTTGTTTTTTTTTTTTTGTTCTTTGTAATTTCTTTTTGTTTTTTTTTTTTTTCTTTTTTTTTTTTTTTTTTCTTTTTTTTTTTTTTTTTATTGTGGTATTTTTTTTTTGTTTTTTTTTTTTTTTTTTTTTTTTTTTTTTTTTTGTTTTTTTTTTATTTTTTTTTTTTTTTTTTTTTTTTCTTTTTTTTTTTTTTTTTTTTTTTTTTTTTTTTTTTTTTTTTTTTTTTTATATATATTTTTTTTTTTTTTGCATTGTGTATGATTTTTTTTCCATCTTCGATAAGGGCCGTTCTTTTTGCATGGGTTATGGGTGGCTCGCTGTATTGACGTTTTTGATGTTTTATTTCCAATTTAAATTTTTGTTATTTATCTGTTTATTTATGTTATTTATTTTATTTTTGGTTGGTTACCACTTGAAAACCTTGATCCGCTGGCACACCTCCCTTCTAATGTTTTTTTTTTTTTTGTTGTTTGTTTTTTGTTTTTTTTCCCGTTCCTG